AACCAGTGACGTAGCTAAGGGGAGGGGGCGAGGGGGGGAAGACCGCCCTGAGTGCCAGCACAGGAGGGGTGACACAATGTCACCCCCAACAAAATTTTTCAACCAGGCTAAGGTGCCAAAAATATTCTGAAAACAGTAGTGGAGACACAGGGTTTCGCAGGCGGGCATATGACCCCCAGAAATAATTTATGACCCCCACCAGTTTTGTCCCGCAGTCAGAAATTTTCTAATAAATTGTCGGGAAATTTGTGAGTAGGAAAAATAGCAATGTTTTCAGCTTTCATGCGTTTCAGTTGCTACAATCTTGGTTACTAACAAGAGACATTGTTGTAACATTTTATCGGATTATATGGTGTTTTAACTCTGCATCATTAATAACAACAAAGCGAAATACGAAGCCAAAAGTGCAACAATTTCAGTCTTGCCTGTGTATCAATTCGCTGAGATACAATTTTCCCTTGAGTGAATGATATACTTTTGAATATACCTACTAGTGTTGGGACGATTAATCGGAATAGGAATCGAGAATCGGAAAAATCGGAACTTTTGGGGGTATCGGAAACGGTATCGGAATCGGAAAAATTTGTGCCTATTTTCCGATTCCAAATCTATTCTTTTAAATTTTTAACTTAATTTTCCATTATTGGTACTAATGATAAATATTTATTGTTTTTAAATTATCACTAAAACTAAAATCATAATAACATCAAAATACGATGTAAATTTATTTTACTTGTATAAAGAAAAATAAAAAAATAAACTTTGCATAAATTCTCTAGGTAACCTTTAAAAGAATGCAGTTGATTTACAATGTTCCGAAAAATGCTTAAAAATTAAATAGAACATTTTTGTCAAGAAAAATACTTCCAAACATCATTGATAATTAAATGGTACCCAGATGCAACGGAAAATTGGACACCGGAAAATTAGCAACAGAAAATTACGTCAACCATGATCCAGTCGAGACTGTCGGATCTGGCTGTGCTGCCCATTGAAAACGAGCTTACAAGACAAACAGATTTTGACGATGTCATTGACCAGTTTACCACAATGAAAACAAGAAAACATTCATTCTAAGACCATAGTATCAAATGTCATTCTTTTGTGTATTGCCGTGTTTTGTATTTAGTTGTTCTGAAAGTGAACAGTTGCATTTTAAAAATCTTTTGATTTGAACTGATTATTTTGTGGTATTGGATTTTGTCTTGGATCATACATGTAAACAGTAACGTACCGGTTAGTAGAGTAAAGTAGAGGTAGAGCATGTATGAAAATTTAGCTACAGCTAACCATTCAGCATAGGGTGAATCGGGGTCATTGGGGTGACATTTGAGCGGATCGCCCCGGGTGACGTTTACTCTAACAACGCGACTGTCTCAAACACCCCTCTTTACTCTTGCTCTCACTTTCTGTAACCCCTTGTGTGCTAGTGACACTCCTACCTTGCTTAGGGTGATATCCTTAAAATATTTTTTTCATGGTAGTTATTCTAATGAGCTCTCCTCTTTGATACCTCAACCGTATGAATTCAACCATGCTACCAGATCGGCAACTAGGTCGCATCAATTTACTGCTAAATTAGCTAGATGTAACTGTAAGCTATATGCTAATAGTTTTTCTCACACTTCTCATCGGTGGAACTATTTTCCAGTTTCTTTCTTCCCTGCCACCTACAATATTCAAAAATTTAAATTCTGTATTAATCGAAATCTTATGTCCTCTTGAATACTGTTTTTCATTGTCCTTTCTCCTCACTAAAATCTTCATTCTCTTTCACTCCCAGTAACCCCTTGTGTCTTGGTGACATTATCACCATCTTCTGTCTTCCTGAATCCTATTCTTTTATTGTCCTTTCTCCTCACTGAAGTCATCTTATTCTCTTTCACTCTCAGTAACCCCTTGTGTCTTGGTGACCTTATCACCTTGCTTGGAGTGAAATGACTTTAAAAATAGCATGGCAATTACCTTTTGTAAGGCAAACCGTCTAGGAAGATAAGCCTGAAACCAAAATCAGCCTAAAGAAGGACTGGATCCGTCAAGTTATCTTGCTTTACACACACCCAAAGCTGATAGCGCTGCCCCGTTGACTCTAATGTGTTATGGAACTTCCCATGATCATGATTGTGCCTTGTTCTTACTAAGTAATCAACTATTGATACATAAACGACGTACTTAAATCTGACTGCAAGTGTCCTAAAAGTAAATTATTTAAAAATATATATATATCTACTAATTTGCCAGAGTATGAAATCGTTTCTGTAATATATGAACGTGTTTTCTGTCGCACAGGGCGACACGGAAAGGGATGAGCCATAAGGTTTTATTTATAATACATGACCAGAGATCAATATTTGGCAAGTTGTCAAAGTGATCATTGCAGATGATTTATGACAGTTAACAGTGGAATCTGAATATAACTTACTGGTCGCAATAGCAACAGTGGCAAAGACTGCGTTATCATGATACTCGTTATCAGGACCAGAATTTGTTGGCTACGAAAAACTGTACTCTTTTTCAATGGTGCTTTGGATCTATCTGAAAATTCAATCATCAGGTTTGAGGTGATTTTTTTGTTGATAAGTGTTGTGTAAAAAAACGGCCGACTTTCTCTACATTAATACTTAAACATAGACTCGTCCATTTACTCTGAGTAGGACGTCTACTCAGAGGACTCAATCAAGATCTTCCGATTCTGGTAGTTCGAACTCTCTGCCTTCGGGCAGAGAGGGACTCAAATGAGGCTAAGCCGAAGGGCAGAGTCACATCTGAGGAGGTAGACAAGCCCGACCCCGTGTATGCGAGGTATATGGTGAATTTTTGTCCAAGCCTACGGTCTCGGATTCACCCCACATAAAAAAACGGCCTTGTGCCACATGCTGCTTTGTGGGGAGGCGAAGTAAATAACCTCATAGGAAACAGGGTCACAAAGTAGGTCGTGTTGAATCGTACACATTGCCACACTAATTACGGTATTCGCTATTATTGTATTATTAATCTATGTCCTTCACGTGATTAAACCTTTTTCTTCACTAATTATTCCATTGTTTTCTTCACTTTTATTCCATTGTTTTCCTTACAATATTATTAAGCAGAACTACGAGTATTATAACAATAAGGCGTTGAATACTCCCATCGGATGGATACTCCCACTAAAAGAGGCTCGTCCCATGTGGTCGATCAATGTTTGCATATAGACTCGGGCAAAATGTTGGATTGATTTGTTTTTTTACGGCTTATCAACACTTTGTGAGTTATTTCAAGCCGAAACATATTCTGAATTGTAATTCTTCTTTTCTGCGTTAACAATATTTTTAAGAACAATGGTATTTCCAGATACACGTCCTACAGTTTATCCTATAGATTAAATGAGGAGAGACTCGGGCTCAAAATCGATCACTTATATTCGACATTAAATAACCAAACAGATTATACTATTTACATTATTCGGAATATTGTCCTCATCTTTGTCGCCATATTTATTAAAACGTTTCGGCTGTTGTACGCTCCGGCCTTCTTCAGGTGGTTGGAATGTCGAACTGAACCCTTTATTTCACTCACTGGCGTAGACTGTTCTAGTTCCACGTGCCATGTCTAAGGCTTCAAGAACACCAGAAAGCTGTAACACGAGGGGAAGTGGAAAAATCATGCGTGGCTGACCACATATGGACGGAAAAGGGAGATCACCGCCCTCTATGGGATCAGGTTGAGATCATAGACAAAGAACACCATTGGAAAATTCGTAAACTTAAGGAATCAGCACATATGCTAGGCCACAAAAATCTCCTGAGCCGACCAAGCATAAAAATTAATACAATATGGGAACCAGTAATAAGAAGTGCCAGAGAAAAGCGATAATAACGACAAAAATTGCAATATGAGCTCTGGTAAAAACATGCAATGATAACAGCAAAAATTGCAATATGAGCACTGGTAAAAAAATGGTTTCTGAAGGCATTCGGTTTATAATATCCAGAAATTCATGCACAAATATCCTCAAGGACACATGGCACAGTGGATAAAGGCGTTAGTTAGATCCAGTGACAGGACACAAATAGTGTGAGTTCAATACACGGTTAAGGCAGTGGAGAACTTGGAGAGGGGGAATTTACGGATAAGGGAAAAACTAGAGGCTACAAAAATTCTACAGCAGGATACTGAAAATGAGTAAGCAAACAAGAAAGTCTTAAAGATAATGAAAACAGAAAGAACACGTATAATCAGAATAAAAAAAAAAACAACTAAAATTACTTGGATAAGATAGGAAGTTGTGGAGAGCCCTGACTGTCTATGTTCTGAAAGGACAGAAGAAGAAAACAATAACTTTTTTGCACGAAACTTTTGGGGCATCAGACTACTTTACAAAGAAATGTTATCATTGAAACTTGCAAGTAATGAAACATGGCTAATTAAAGCAAAGATCGGAGATCTCGTCTATCCACTTGAATAATAAGAGCATTAATATCAGTATCTCTATATTTCGACGCACGAAAACCTCTCCTGTTTCACCAGCACCTATCTTTAGCTGAATCCCATCTTCGGGAAAAGTAACCTCACCCCCTTTTGGCATTTCCGTTCGATGAATCTATCCAGTTCCTTATTCACTATTCCTTCCGTTTCATTTGGCAACAATGCACTCCATTACATCTAAAAACAGCACAGCACTGTTTCGAAAATTATTTTTGACTTTTCGTTCTTTTCAAATACACCGTCTCGCCTATTTTATGCTTAAAACAAATATGCAGATCCACGCATTTCGATTTTTCATCCAATCAAGCCTTGTATTTTTACTGCACCCGTTGTCGGCCATAGCTTTATTCCTGTTCTCAGTTACTTCGCTTACCCCGTCAATAAGCCTTTGTTCTTTGCAATTTTAGCCATACAATATCTATTTTACACTGTATTTAAGTAAAACTGGTAAAACTTTTGAGACTTTTCGACGCGGGAAAACTTTTTGGTGCTTTCAGAAAGATGAACCACCATCTGTGTGCCTTTATCAAAACTGATAACTAAATATGAAAAGACTCGGATAGATAGATAGATAGATAGATAGATAGATAGATAGATAGATAGATAGATAGATATGAATACCGTTCTAATCATTTATGTATCAGATAGTGGGCGAAATTTCATACGAAGTAAAACGAATGAAAAATTAATGACAGACGGGACTTATTCTGGGAATATATACTGACAAATTACACACACGCACGCATATATATATATATATATATATATATATATATATATATATATATATATATATATATATATATATATTACAATTAATCATTCATACAAAAAAGTAGATTAGTAAAGTTAATGATATAAAATGGCGGAATCCCTTCGCTAACTAAATTTTAAAGGTGCATTAACCTACCAATCACTCGATGAATGTTATGATCTTTGTTTGTTTTGTTTTTTTAATTATAAACCGTATAAGGTCTTCCTTAAATATGCAAGTACTTTCGACTGTACATTCAGTCATCTTCAGGCATGAAAATTATTTGTTTTTTGGTAAAATTCAGGCAGCATCCGAAACAAAAAGATATAATGCGAATAGAAATATTTTTAATGTGTTTTTGATAACGGATACACACTTGTCACAACGCTAAGGTTGAATTTTTTTTTTGAAAATTTAAGTCAGTGCGTTTTTTACTAGTAGGGAAATTTGAGAATTTTTTTGTTGTTGTTGTAGGAGTTTATCAGTCAATGTTAACATTTGGGTGAAAAATTCTGAAATTTAAAGAAAAAAAATATGAATACAAAAAAAATGAGAAGTGAATATAATTTATTCAGATGAAGATGCGCTGAAAAATGCGAATCCTCTATAGTTAATATACGATTAGGCTGTTTCAATTTATCCTCTTTTCTTACTGAATTGTTATTGAAATAATGTGGCATACTTAAGTCGTTACAAAAAGAAAGTTGAAATTACTTAAAACCGTTAAAGTAAAGGATAAGCGTTCAACCACTTAACTGGAATCACGTTTCGTCTCGCTAATGTTTTTGAATGGGAAATAAAATTACTTTGTTCTGATGACGACGGATCCTTGGCGAAACTTGTCAATGAAGAAATTCTTCCTTATATAATAATAATTAAGTTTGTTTAATATATATATGTTATTTAGCGATTTTTGGCAAAATGCAATCTTTCGATATTGTTTGCATATATATATATGTGTGTGTGTGTGTCTTTATCTGTGTGTGGACATTGAGGCCAACATTTAGCAGCGATAACCTGTTTCATGTTAAACGCAATTGTCAGGACACTGCGATTATGTTTATGCATGAAGCAAACTGTCGCCGCTGGCCTCAATGTCTACTTTTATATGTACATATGCTCTCTCCCTGATATCAAGCACTTTAATTTAAATATAACATACCTTATATATATATATATATATATATATAGAGAGAGAGAGAGAGAGAGAGAGAGAGAGAGAGAGAGATACTTAGTTGAATGGATGTGAGTTTGTAACCCTAGGTTTCACGCTTTTGCGATCCTCAGACAAAGGATCCTTAGCCAGAGGATCACAAAAGCGTGAAACCTAGGGTCACAAACTCACATCCATACAACTAAGTATGTTAACTCTGTTACTGATATTGAGCACTTTCCAATAAGTAACGCACATATATAATATATAAATAATATATATATATAAATCACACACACATATATATATATATATATATATATATATATATATATATATATATATATATGTATATTTATTCCGTATACACCAATCCTATACTGATATATATATATATATATATATATATATATATATATATATATATATATATATATATATATATATAAACATATTAGATTAGGCAGCATATATTTTATATATAAAGAAATAATCATACATAGAATTGATTGATTCTATGTATGATTATTTCTTTTATATATATATATATATATATATATATATATATATATATATCAAATAATGTGGTGCCGTTCAATTTATATTACAATGAATCATTCATACAAATGCCACCACTAAAAATTTCGGACATCAAACTTTTACTGAAACCATTAATTTAAATATTATTTGAGGGCTTTCTAAAACCATGCAGCGAAAACTGAAACTGTCTTGTGGCTATTTATTTTAAAGCTACCCGTTGAGCAAGTGACTTACTCGGGCCTGCGAGCGGCCATGTCTACGATCGGTTCTTGGACTAATGTCGATAAGGAATAAATTACCTTCGGTGACTTTCTTTTATTCGAATGATGCGCTCAATTTCCACGAATGCAAAGATTCTTCCAATTCCTATTTTCTCTTCGGACTCCGGATTAACTTCCGGGAAGTTCATCGAAGGTTACAATGCAGTTGTTCACTTCATGATGCAATCAAATGGTGAGTGATTTGAAATGAAAGTGGACACAGTTGTAAGAGAGTAAGAGGAATAAATGAGTAGCCATTGGTTAATATTCTAGAGTGGCTCTTTGGATATTGTGAAAGGCGATGAACAGGTTGCTCTTCGCCTGGACGCATGTAATGACGGCGGAACTGCAAAGACCTGCGCATGCGTACTTGAGCCACGTCGATGTTTGTGGATTCATCCTTTCACTTTTAATAGATGAAGCAAAGTTATTCGCCTAGGAATATGGGATATATCTCCCATGAATTTCTATTGCACTTTTCGACTGGTAGTTAACGTCAAAATGTCTCAAGTATACATTGTGCGAGTCACAGAAAATATACAGTATCAAGTTTGAACATCTTGACTCTTCCTGCTATCCTCTACCTTTACAAGAGCTAGATCAGGCCCAAAATGGAGTACTGTTGTCATATTTGGGCAGGACTTAACTCTCCAGCCTTGAGTCCGAAAGCGTCCCCAAGCTCTTATGAGTAACGAATTATTCTCCACTCTTCAACCTCTCTCACAGGCGGCATGTGACAAGCCTCTCGCTGCTTTATCGCTACTTCCAAAGTGCTCGGACGAACTACATTCAAACCTTCACGGCAAGGACACACTATGTCACTTACATTGTAGCAAAACGCCCACCTTCCCTCTATATTTCGTCGGTAACAAGTACTTGAACAGTTTCCCGTGAGCCACTACTATGTGGAACCGATTACCAAGATGCTCCCCGATCACTACAATCTTAAGATATTCTAGTCTAACCGTTATCGTCCTCTTCTATCAGTATAAACTTCCCCTTATCGTGACCCTCTACCTCGAGTGGATCCCGAGACTTGTAAAGGGTGTAATTCAGTGAACCATCAGTGTGTTTAAAGTGTTTTTGTGCAGCATATCTCTGAAATGTTCATATAGTCTTTTTTGTCAATGTACAGTGTTGTTCGATAAAAGTGACTCACCTGATATTTTTTACTAAATGTTCTCTTCTCCGATGAAACGAAAGTTGAGCTAAATTCAAAGGATAAGCGATCTAAAATCCGAAGAAGAAGCTTTGAAAGCTCTTTGAATTTAGCAGTAAGTACTGTCGAGCATCCGTTCAGTATAATGTTCTGGAGATGCTTTTCTTTTCATAGAACTGGTTTCTTGAAACCTATTGAAAAGACCCTCAGGAGTGTTATACCGGAACGTACCTATTCTATTGTAAATAGACTCTCCCACAGATAAGTAGTAGTAGTAGCAGTCGCCAGTTGGGCTCAGTGAGTTGTGTGAGTCAGTCGATTTCGGACATTAAATTATGAGCCCCACAACTAGATTGCTGCGTCATTAACTATTATTTCAAGTTCCTAACGTTTTGTACGTCGAACCTAATTTAGGACCGACTTAGTGAAATACAAGCCTCCACTGTGAAAACTACTCTACAACAAGGAGCGAGCAGTACAAGAGAATTTTAGAGTCATGTCTGCTCCTTTCTGCTGAAAGGGTGCAAATCGACCCTACCAATCTCATTATTATGCAGGATAATGCTTCCTGTCACAAATCAAAATTGATGAAGGAATACTTTGATGAGAAGCAGGTGAGTGTTATGACACTGGCGCACCAATTTCCTGACCTCAACCCCATAATGAACTTATGAAGCATGTTGCTCAACTACTTTCTCAAGAGCCTGTACTTTATAATGCTCCATAAGTTTTGAACCTACGTTGTTTCTAAGTTTCATTAACAACCTTCCTGATGTCAACAGTTTTCAACTCGGTATCTAAGCTAATGATAACTATTTACCTCTGTCTTAATAGTAAATCTAATCGATCCGATAAGGTCAAATTAACAGCTACTTTTTTAAAAAAAGCATAACCTACAATTTGTTGTTAACTGGGGCAAGAAATGACTTGTTAATTCTGATACCTCCAAAACGAAAATGCTCTTTTTAATCGTCTGAGAGAACCTTTTTTGCCTTCCATCAATATGGCTGATGTTAACCTCCAGGAGAGGGACACGTTGCACCTTCTCGGGCTCATGTTTTCCGTTGACATGAAGTGGAAAGATTATATTGAATCAATTGCTAGGTCTGATGTTACGAAAGTTGGTTCACTGTTTCATGTTAGACATTTTTTCTCCAGAATCTATCTTACACACTTATAAATCCACCATTTATATATGCATTGAATATTGCTGCCACATCTGATGTGGTGGTTCCGCTATGTAATTACAGTATCATAATAAAATGTGTGTGTGTGTGTGTGTGTGTGTGTGTGTGTGTGTGCGTGCGTGTGTGTGTGTGATCCGAAACGTTTACATCCAATAAACATGTCCAATCTGTAACAAATCTTGACTCTATTTCAAGTCACATGCTCGCCTTTTGCTCACATTGTCTCTGCATTTCTGTCACCTTTTTACAGTGACAAATACATTTCTGCTTTTAAGCTGTTTCTAACAGTATATTTCGCTATGAAAAATCTCTTACATATATTGTCAAATTTAAAAGGCGTTCTTCTTCTTCTTATTATTATTATTATTATTATTATTATTCTATGTGCCATGTCCCTTTAGGACGTGGGCGATAATGTCTCTCCACAACTTCCTATCCTTTGGAACTCTTAGTAACGTTTGTCTTTCTGTCATTACTCCGAGCTCCTGATCTATTATCTATTTATACAATCTCTTTAGGTAAGTTATTTGCTGTTTCCCTCTGTTCATCTTGTCTTCAATCTGCCCTGTGAGTGTCAAAT